CATTAATTATTATTATTACTATTATTATTTTTATTGATCGGAAAAGAAAACTTTGAAATGTAATATAAATCTTAAATATTGTTTATTCTAAAATTATAAATTACATTAAGCTATGTTTCCTTGAGGAATTTGATGACGTTTTCGTTTGTTTGATGGTCAGGTTGTAATGTTTCTTCTAACCGTCTAACCGTTGCACAGTGGTTCAAAATGAATGTTTGGCGCGTCAAAAGTAATAATAAAAAAATTGTCTTATAAATATTATACGCGTTGTGGTGATTGTTTCTTGGATCATCGCATTTTTGGCGTTCTGTTACGATGTGCTTCACATGATTCACATATGAATGGATCGTTTCCGGTCATAGGGTGATTAATGTGTTGTGAATTCATGCTTCATTCGAAGGCGGTTTATGATGTTTGTATGTATGTTTATTTTTTCGAGACGTAGGTTATATCATAAAAATTGTTGTTTTTTATTTGCGTTTAGTTTAGTGTTTGGTTTTCAATTTGAATTTTCTAGTGGTTTTGTAACCTATTTACCATAATTATCATTATGTATACGCCTATGATAAATAAAATTAATTTCGCACGAAAACAATGTTATAACATTCGCTCGATCCACTTCGGATGATACGTTTTGTAATTATGCGCTCGTGTAAAAGATTACAGTTTACAAAAAGTATACAGAAAATATCGATGTAGTTGTTTTACCTATTTTGCACAGAGTAAATACATAAATGTTTAAACAGTTCGAGGCGCTCGAATAAATAAAAAATACTTTTATTTAAAACGATAACCACCAACACTAAATACTTTCGGGGCGGTCTATTATACGAGTATTTCATAGTCTATGGAAGTAACATTGGTTTTTTCGACTATTTTAAAAATTTAAATGGCGATCCGATTCTCTTCAACTGCGCCGGAGTCATGGAACGTTGACTGTACCGAACGGCTGAAAGGAAATCGACATCGAACAACAGACGTTTGGAATGCTTCAAGAGTTTGAAATACGTATATTTGAATAGTTTCGGTTAGATTGCTCAAATGCTTGACGGCAACGTACATACCAATACACCGTTGTGTACATGTATTTTTCATTGATAAAATTTAATTATTTTTATAAAAGGCTAATTTTAACGTTTTGCGTTCGATATTTGTTTCTTTTTTTTTTATTTAAAAAAAAATAAATAAAAAGATGCGATAAAACTATGATATTATGTAAATATATTATGGTTCTTATTGATTCGGGGCCCTCTGCCCTTCGAGTCCCGAGATTCGGGTCCATGCCTTGAGACGGCACTGTAGGCTCGACGTTCCGACGATCAAGTTGTCGTCCCGTGCACGGGATACTCTCCGCTTTTGGACTTGACGATGCCACTGCGAGTGCACACGTAATATTTTGTTTGCGACATGTGTGCGCATATCACTCAACGAGTTCCACGCTAGATAGCCCAGCCGATGTAGACGAGATATCGGATCGTTACGTGTGATAATGGCAGCACGTTGGCATTGGTATTCGAACTAAACGCTTGAATTGCATTTGAAACACGGCCAAGTTCGTAAACGAAATTCAAACGTTTTACGTGATCCGGGGAGTAAAACTAGCCAGATTTAAAGCGTTCCAGGAAAACTGAAACTTTGAACACGGTTCTCTTTTTGTTGCGAATTCATGTTGACATAATGTACTGTTCGTGCTATTCGTGTAGACAGTTCTTTTTGATGTACGGTTAGCTATATGCCACTGGCAAGCAAGTATTTTGGGTATTTACCGGATAAACATCCAAGGGTTTTTTTTAGCTACCCAACATTTAGGCAAATACTTTTTCGATATCGATATTGTTCTACTATAAATTTTACAAATACTATTTTTGCTACCTTACCCGAAAGGATATTATGGTTTTTTTTTTTTTGAAGTTAGTATTAAAATTATAAGATTTTTATATTTTTCGTAACTACGGTATGATTAAAAAAGTATTTCAAGAGTATAATATATGTTTTATCGTTCATCTGTTTGTGGACTAAATATTATATATTTAAATACTGAGAATTTATGTTCGATTGACGGTTGTTAAACGTCATTCTCTTACATTAAGTAGTTATGTTAATATACGATTAGTCACTACTTAATTAAGCTAATAACCAAAGGAATTAAAAATACCAAATATTGAACAGTACGGATGTATATTTTTTTATATTAAATATATTTCAATATTTTATAACTTCTATAGTTAGTATGAATACTAATTTATGAATCACTTTACAGTTACAGCTTGAAAAGTATTATTTTACCGGTCCTCTTCGGTGGTAATAACCGTGTAAGCGTTCCACGTAAAGGGTATCGCACTTGTCGTTGGCGATAGCACTTGGACGCGTCTACCCACGCGTCCAAGTACCAACTCTCCGATGGTCGCACGAGTCAAACGTTACCGTGGAATCACGTACATTTAGGGTTTTTATAAACTTTCTAGACGTCGTGTGCATAACATACTCGTACTACGCTTGTCCTCCCCTCCCCAGCCCCCACCAGACGTCGTTGCTACGGTCTGCGGGTCAGTAATATTATTATTATTACTATTTCTGTTGCCGTTACTGTTATTATCATCATCATCATCATTATTATTATTATTATTATTATCGCGACGCCACTGATGGTCGGCTGGCCGGCCATCACAACCAAAAGGCTTTGTGGGTGGTCCGTTTTGTTCACTTCTCTCCGCGGTCCCCGTTCGGATCGTATTTAAGTTCAAAAATGTTTTATACGCGCGCGCGCGCTTACACAAACGCGCGTCCGGGACCGTAATGTTTATAATACGTTTCACGCACGAGAGAATAAATATTTCATAACACAAACACGGCATACCCACTCTGCACGAGCACCGAGCAACGCGTCCGGTGCCGTACGAGTTCGGGTGAACAAAGTCTGATGCTGCTGCTGTACTGCGCCCTCCGGGTGACAGATTTACGATCGTCCGACACCGTTTTTTCGTTTCACGATATCGTCGTGTTCGGCAGCGGACCGGCACACCGGCGTTGTACGCTCGCCGCGTTCCCGTGCGCAAGCCTTTCACTCGTATTATTACGGATACGGGCCGGGGATTAACGGGTTGATTTACCGGGCAATAAAACGTGGCCCACGGGGAGGTACGCGTAAGGTTACCAACTGCGAGTGCCGGGTGTTGCAGTGGTGGTGGACGTGCCGGGAGAGCGGCTTCCAGTGGGGTCCAGATCTCGTCGATCGCGTTTACGACCCGGCTCAGGGTCAATATTTTTCGGAGATAAACTTACATCGCGCGCAACGCATATTACTCGACGCGGATATAATACACGTGCGACGACTGCTCGTAGCGCCGTGGCCGGTTGTCGATTATTTTACCCGCCTAGTGCAAAAATGTCTGCAGATTTTAAACGGTCTCGTTTATTTTCCTTCGGCGAAAAATAGTATGGCCGGCCAGACGCTCGCTATCGTGTTCATCGCTGTGCCAAAAGGCTGGAAGGATCGGGCCAAGTACGGTTCGCGGGAGAGGTGAAAAAATACGGTCGAAAACGTGATTTGTTGTTGTTGGTAATTGTTTTTCTTTTTTATTGTTATTATTTTCAACCATAAAAAATTATAGTACATTACATTATTTTACACATCACCTAATAAGGGACGTCGGCGCGTAAAAAAAAAAAAAAAAAAATAAATAAATAAACAAAAACAATACTCATAAAACAAGGTATAACTAAACTATAAAACGACTTTGTACCAAATAGTGATCAAATAATAATGTACCTACCTACACATGTTTCAAAACATTTTAACATTATACATTAATAATTATTATAATAGGTAGCGCCGCGATCACACGCCCCACGTCGAATCAGAGTTGGTACTGTACATACAATATTATACATTATTACATATGACCGTTTTGATTTTTAATACAAAAACACGATTCCTCTTTTTTATTATTTGGTTTATATAAATATGACTTGTAAGTACTTAACACAATATAATTAATAAAGATATATCTTATCGAGACGCGTCGTGGAACAATGAAATAAAAACTAAACAAAATTAAATAAACGACGCGCAGGTGGTGCCTGAGGGCGTCGAGCCTTCGGAGTCGATAAAAATCTTAAAAAAAAAAAAAATAATTATACAAATCACTGCATAGTAAAAACTAAATATGTGTATGAAAATGTATAACACATTCCATGTGAATAAATAATAGTAAAAAAAAAAAACACAAAAAAAAGAGGATCAAGAAAAAAAAAAGACATAGAAAAACGCATCGTCTCACGCGAAAAATACACTGACCAGTAGCTGGATTGAAATATATTATGACAACATTCGGTTGGTAAGTTGATAGTAATGTCATGCTTACGCCTAGTGGCGTCCAAGGGCGTGCTTGATAACGGGAAATAACATTTCCCGGGGGAGGCCATAAGTATAGACTCCTCTTGAACATGCCATTTCTTCAAACCGTCCCTGAACCATCACTGGACGTACAGATAATAATCGACGGAACCGCAAGATATAGCTGGACAGGCAATGTACGATAGTTGACGATGTGTTTCACATAAAGCGATGTATCGATACGAATGTTATGCTGGCGGTCTCGCTAAACATCGATGGTCAATGTACCAGACAAACGCAACGATACCAGCGGACGAATTCCGGTTTGGGAAAAAACGGTTGATAGATCGACGCGGAGGATACAGAGACGAAGAGTACGTCACTATTGTGATGGTGAACGAGAACGAGAAATCCAAGGAGGTATTTGCTCGGGAAGACGACTTGCGATGAACGGTTGGCGCGCAGGCTTCGGGAGGAGAACGACGTGACGGAGAAAGGATTCGTGAGACGGCAGCGATGGGAGCCGGAGCCGGTGGAACACCGGTGTATAGGACGAGGCCGCGTGTGACGTCGACAAAACGCTACGTGAACACAGCAGGTAGCCGTAAACCGCAGCACGAGAATCCGTCTAATGCGGTTTTATACGGCACAATCGCGGAAACATTGCGCTCGTCACACCGATTACGCGTAGAGCGGCCATTCGGACCGCGTGACTAGGAGAGCGGATACGGTGACGAGCACGACGAGTGGGACGGTGGACAGCGATCGCGGTCGAACAACCAAAGCGGATGCCGCGGAATCGGAGCGTCGGTCGTCGCCGTCGGCCGTGGTCGTGTTGTACCGGTTCCGGTTGACCACCTGGTGTTCCGGGTCGGCCAACATCATTTCCACCTCGGCCCGGTCAGGGTCCAGGTCGAACATCCGCGGCCGATGCTTCCTCCGGTTCTTCCGGCCACCAGGCTTGTAGCCGCCCTGCTGCTGCTGCAACCTCGGGTCGGCCACGTCCAGGAAACCGCCCCCGCCATAGCATAGCCTGACCATGCGCTCCTTGTTGCGCAGACACTCGACCGTAGCCTTGCCGGAGCACCGACACCGATTCATTTTGGACGCCGTCTCCTGTCGCTGCAGGATCTCCACCGAGTTTAAGCACCGCTCGGTGCACGCCACGCCCTGCAGCATACGTTTGCAGTACGTGTGGTAGTATCCCAGGGCATTGGTGCACACAGGGTCGGCCAGACAGATAAACTGCGCAAGCTCGCACGATACCACCGTCTGGTTATGCACCGCTTCGATCACCAGCGGCCGGCACACCTCCACGCGGGTCTTCATTTCCTCGCAGTAACCGTCCCGACAGGAGCACTAAAGGTAAAATGATTACATGTTATTACCGGTTAGGTTAGGATAGGTTAGTATTTATGTATACATTTATACAACAACAATGTGCACATTGTACACGTATAAAACAGGTTCTTTAGAAAAACTATTCTGAGTTGTGCACACTCTACTACTTCGAGTATTGATAGGAAAAATATAGTAGAAAATTGTCCGAAAACGGTTTTTCCATTACCCGAGTTACCCGGCTTTCAAATAAAATGTCCGTTTATGAAATTGGTGCTCGATATCTAAATCAAAAATTCTTTTCGTGCTATTTTTGGTATTATTACGTTGTCAATTTTTCCGTATTGTTTCGCAACGAAATAAAGAAAATCCGTAAAACGAGATTTTCGATCGAAAAACAATCGATAAACCGGTACACTGATCAATCGTTGGATGTAACCGATAAACGATTGATTGTCGACATAGAAAACTCACAAATAATTCAATAAATTCATCGTATTATTTAATTACGACGTAGAAACTATTATAGAGTCTTTCGGGCCGTTAAACCGATGGTAATCATCGTGGCTTGCGCGATCGTGTTACGAAAAACATAATGTAAGATGAACCCACGAGCTCACTTTCGGAGACGGGTTATTTGGAGGAGACATATTAGAGTAGTCATTTGAATTTTATCGATTTGAATTATATAGTAGTAAAAATTACGTTATTTGCGATTAATTATGCCGTATCTATAAATAATACATTTGTGTGGACGTAAATATAATTTCTCGCAGAAGAAAAAAAGTAGGCAATAATTTTATTTCATACTTGTTTACTTAACATTAAGTATGATAACAGAAGTATTTTAAATAATTCTGTGACACTACGTACTGCTTTATTTGATTCTTGTATTCATTTCTTTTTGTTCGTTGTTTTGTTAAGATACAGCTCGCACCATAAAATACAACTGATCAGAACAGAAAAAGCGGTAGCGTGTAAGTTTGAATAAAAAATACCTCTGATATTTCGGGGTATAATTTTTCACGCTCTTCTTGAAAAATTAAGAAAAATTTCAACTCAACATTTGTAAGTATGTATTTATTTTCAATATGATTATTTACCACGTCAAAAGTATTAAAACATAATTTCTAACTTTATAGATTTTAGTATTAAATGTTTTATATAATTATGTTTTCATCCAATTGGTAATCTATATACATGCCTCCAAATATATTTTCAACCCATGGACAAATAAATTATTTATGGACATAACCAATTTATCAAAAAATTATAAATATATAACACATGATCATTATTTGAGGTACTATACTATTATATTTATTGATTATTATTGGGTGTACGCTTATTTGAATGCATTTTGATCGTTATAAATAATTTATATTCTTCTACATAGCATATTATGTTTTCATCATTTGCATTGCGAAAATAATTATATGATAATAAAGTTTTTTTATCTGTATAAAAGACCACTTGAAATTATATACTCGTAGGTTAGGTTAATACCCCTGTTTACTATATAGTATAACATGATAAATTTGTTCGCAAAAAGTAATCGATCATCGTGTGATTCATATTTTACTTATATGAATATTATAGAAAAATATTTCATTCGAACGAGTGAAAAAATATACATAAATAATTATGTGGTTTGTTTTCGAATAAAATTTATAAAAAAAATAAATATATATTAAATTAAAGTCTTACGGCTCATAAATGAAACGTAAAAGGATTTTACTATACCATATTTGTACATAAAAAGGTTAGGTATGTATCGCATATAAAATTGGTTTTTCATTGTTTTAACTACTCTATAGGTTGTTGTTGATAAATTTCTAATGATTTACTCGAAAAATAAAAATATTTCCGAACATATAAAATTACTTGGTGTACGAACAGTTTCTAATTTTCCATACCAGCGTATGAAATATATATACATAAGAAACGGAATATTTTAACGGTTTACCTATAGTGTTTTTCTAGTACGAGTTGTATACTATTTTACGGGCGAGTGTGTAAATCGCCATAAATCAAGACGTCTCAACGATAATATATTCGATGTAATTGATTCCGGAGGCTAAGAGAAAACGTTATCGTATTACTATGGTGCGTATACCCATATTTTTTAATTGAGTTTTCAAACGTATTTCAATGATGTGAAGTGCGGGATATAATAATACGAAACCGACAAATTCCCCGTTGAACCATTTTTTTTCCCGGCCAATTAAAATTTGTTTTGAAAACATCTAAATTTCCATGAACGTTAAATTATTCTCATATTTTATTTTATTTTATTTTTTTTCGTTATATTATTGTTTTCATTATTATTTTACCGATGCAAACAGAAAAAAACTAAACTTTTATAAAATATATATGTATATTTATAATAAATATATACCGTATAAACAGATTTAACGTAAGATTAAAAATAAATAAAATTACGGTGACTTTAACGAACGTCACACTACTACACAGCTGTACGTTTGGAATAAAACATTCAATCCCATAGACGTGTATTATAGATAAATATATTGAATATTCCCTATATTACGTGCAAATTTTTATGCGAAAATATTTAATGAAATTTATTGGTGATCAAATACTTTCAAATTTGCCTACAAACGTTTGAACATTGCACATTTTTCAATCTAATTTTAATTATATAAACTTTAATGGATATAGCTTATTTTTGTATTAATTATGAATTTGGACAGCGTACTGATTGCGAATCTTAATTAAAATAGCACAAAAATCTAAATTCGATGTTAATTATACGTAAAAAATTAATGAAATTCGCGTAAACATGATTTTATGAATAATAATTCTTTATTCCATAATGTTATGAGGTTGGAGATTTGTATGCGATTTCGTGTTTAAGAACTATGATTATTTTTGAACCGTTCGAAAACACAAATTTACCAATAGAAAAAAGGTTTAAGATATATTTTAATATATATTTAATGAAGAATTGATTTTTATCAAAATTGCATAATTTCTATAAGCTAAAGTTGTTTACTTCCAACCCACACTTCTACCTTTAACATTTTTCAGGTTAATTTTTTTTTTTATTTGTACCTGCTAAATATCCATGTATTTTCATGAAACAAATGACGTTTTGTTTCATACCATGAATGTAAAATAAGAATATTTATCATAATCTTTGAACTTAAACTTTAATTCCATTGGTTTTAACGCAACAACGGTTACATCGGAAACTGTAATGTATGTATAATTTTAAAAGCCTATATATATATATATATACATATATATAGGGCACCATGAGTGTGCTGCAGTACACCTAGGCCAACATTATATATCGATTACATTTCTAGGTCGTGCGACTACACACTATAATCCCTTGCACAGTTATCATTTATTTAACGGGTTTGATTTATAACTGCCGCCGATATGAACATAAAGTTAACGACTTAATTGCTAGTCAACAGTTTCAATTCTATTAGGAGGTGATCTGGGAAAACGTAGAAAAAAATGTATCAATCATGCCGTACATGTAAATGAATACCGAACCGGTTCGTTGCGAATTGTTCGCGTACAATATACGCAAACATGACGGGTACGTAAAAACGTGTACGGTTTATATGCACACAATTAGGTGTGTACTCACGTCCAACATCTGTTTGCCGGCCGCGGTGGACGTGAGCGCGACCAACGCGTACAGACACGATTCGGGACACTTGGATGAGTCGTCCTGGAGCATCTTGTCGCACTTGTTGAAGTACGTGTGCAGCGCCATCGAGCACGTCGGGTCGAACGCGCACCGCAAGCGCACCTCTTCGCACGTCGGCTGACGGTAGCCGACCTCCAAGGCGCCGGCGATCGTCAGCCCTCCACCGCCCCACAGCAACAGCGCCATGCCCGACAACAGTGCCATCGTCGTGGACGACCTGCACTGGCCAGCACCACCGACGGCTGTCTTCATCGTCAGCACTTCTTCTGCAAAAAAAAAAAAAAAAAACGCAAAAGCCGTCAAACCACGTTTCTAATCTTATCCATATTTACATAATATTTGCCGCACCGAAATCGGTTTAGAAACCGACGTAACAGTCAACGGTTTTAGAACTTGCTGAGGTGACGTGGGGGGGGGGAGGCATTAGTCATGCTAGTCTTATTTGACGAATTCGGATTAGTTTTCAGAATGTTAATCACATCAACAGATCGATGGGCACTGCGGAACCCGAAAGCTAACATATGCATGTTGTGCACGTTTTAAAGACGAAAAACTACGGTTTTCGATGCGCTCGATACAGCACGGGTGGTTTTGTACAAAAATATTATGAATGATATACCGGTGCTTAAAGATACGACTAAAGAACTAACGTGGTATAAAGGTCGTCCGGTTTTCCGTGATTCTTATTCGGTCGATCAAATACTTTACGCGTACATTATATTTATCAAAAACGATGCGCGTGTACGGCAAAGGAGGAAATTATACTTCGGTTGCGGTTCATCGTCATGACATAATGTATACCTATAATGTACGTACCTACCGCACGCTCGGCGCACATAAGTCACGAAACCGAATCGGACGCGTGCATATATAAATATATATAAACGTACAACGTAGTACACCTTCTATTAGGGAGTTGTCAGTTTCCGTTGCCTATAAAACTACCTTCAATAGAAGAAGAAAAAAAGAAACAAAAGGTGGACGGTCCAAAAATTTATCGTTGAAAATGAAATCACGATAGCTCGTAATACATCGTAATATTATAAAATTCCATTCGCGTTCCGGTTGTGCCGTAAATACGAATACAGCAATATAATGCGCGTCCGCGCACGACTTAATTGTCGAATTGAAATCGTAAATCGAAACGCGCATTAATTACGGAATACATAAAACGTCAACTGGGAATGCGCACGATATTTATGTGCACGGTACGGGCAATAATAAAAAATACATTTTATAGACGCACAAACACATCAATATCAAAATACGAATCCGCGTAGATTATTTCTCCGCGCGTTTTAATAACGATGTGTTTTTTCTCTGCCGATTGAAACCGTTACGAAAATATTGTACAAACATATGATATCTATAAACATACAATTCCAGTGCTAGGATTTAGAAGAGCGCAAGGGACGAAAAACAGCTGCATTATTTGTTTACAATAAACCCTATGCTATACTATTGTGTTTACATAATTTGTTCAACAAAGGTTTACTTATTTCAAAACATTTTTACTATTGATCCCTCAAAAATGTTTATTGGTGTCATTTTCTTCGATCGACATTATCTTCATACCTTGAATTTTTGAATTCGATTGAAAAATAATACCGGACAATTCAGGATGCATATCTTATTTTAAAAAAGATTGTCTCCGTTGATGTATTTTAGGATTGACTTCGTACGCGGGTTAAAAGTTGGAAATTTTTAAGAGGACGATATGAATTTTCTCCGACCAATAGAAATGATATTCTATTGAAAATGCGAGATATTTCTTGTGATAGCAATAGCTCAGTGTAGTTTTTCCAATACGTGAGGTTTTCAGATATCGTTTACGTGTATAGTGAACGAGAAATCGGGGAAATATAACTTGGAGTGGAGTTAAGACGAGCAAAAGTTAATAAAATCAGTTATTACATCGTGGATATAACCAGCTCGGTTCATCATCCTCTGTTCCAAGTTTCCCAATCGGCTCCCGGACGTAATTATCGATTCCTGTCGCTACTACTCGTATTTTCACGTGATTCTATACTACGACAGATATTTTTAAACATAGATTTGCCAACGCCACGACGTTGGAGCTCATTGCTCTGGGAAAAAAAATATTAATAACAACCGGTAATTGTTATACGAAATTGATCATCAAAGAGAGAGCGTATCAATCGTCGGACTTGCTGGTTTATAGAACGTCTACCGTTCGGGAATATCGATAGCGGTCCGTATAGAGACGAGGAACGCACCACGACGGTGCCCTCGAGGACACGATCGGTCGCGTAGAATAAGACAATAAGTATCCGCCGTGCATTTTACAACGTTCAACACAACGGCGCAGCGTGTACATACGAGTCTTACATCGTTACACATTGTTCGGCCGACGACGAAGCCATTGTGCCGCGTGTGTCGCACGTCTCTCTCGGCCGCCACCTGAATTACTTGGTCCGTGTACCCGTGACGTATGCACAGCGAGCCGGTAAAGAGCATGTACACGTGGGACGTACGGCACACGCGTGTGTACAGTTTATGTATTTATTTACATACCTGTACGATGTGTACAATATCGTCCGTTTAATTTGTTTGACTTGTGCACACACACGCGCGCACTGTAGCGCTACAACGATATTGTGTACTCTTCGGGTATACCACGTACCTACCATACCTATACCGTGTACCTGTACCGCTACCGCGTACCGATACTGAGCAAACACCGAGCGGCGAAATCAAATATGTACAAACGCGCCCGGTGACGGTAATAATATCACGACCTCGTGGACGCCCCCGTGACGGGAGGTTTATTGGTATATCGTTATGTTTGTTTTCGTTGTATCATATGTTTGTACGTGTGCATCATCGTTTTTCCACTCTCCGAGCGTCTTATCTCAACGACCCGTGTCTCCGGGAGTGGGCTCGTGCGGGTCCTTCTGAATATATTGTTCTGCTCTAACGTCACGCGAGCCGACGGCGGTCCGAGACCACCGATAGATCCCGGCTACGGAACATGGGTCAGCAGTCCGCGGCTCTTCAGCTTCAAGATGTTTTGTTTTGTTATCGTGCAAAAGTAACATTATTTTCTGCGGATTACCGCCGCGGTATTTACAACATGACCAACGGGTTTTCACACCGATCCGAATAAAATCGTCCACAAGTAACCCTATACAATGGTTATATTTTGTACCGGGTAAATGATGTGTGTACGACGTAATAATAATAATAATAACGTACACTGTACGTATTTATAAATATATAATTATGATGGCCCTTAGAACTTGAATTGTTTGTCACTAATATTGAGCATCGGAAATCGATCGCATATCGGCGTCCGGTTAGTAGGATTCGTGATAGCAAAATTTGAATAATACGAGTAATAACCGTAATCATATCTATACAAAAACGCGATGTGCGGCCAGAGTTGTTTTTACGCGTCGCCGGGTGCATAATTCGGTTGCGTTTTCTCTTGCAGTAACCTATGCTACATCCAACACGCAGCTGCAGCTGACAAGATAATTTTTACATGGATTTTCGACGAAACATTGTGGAACGGTGTTAAAAGTGTTATAATTTATGTTTAATACGCGTTTATAATGTGTTTAATAATTGATTAATTTTGATTTTAAGGTACCTAAATAGTTAATATCAATGAAAAATGTACTTCTCAGCAATTATTTTTACATACTCGTATTGCTCTGGACGATTACACATCTACACATAATTTAAAGTCTACATACGAAAATATTAGTCGGTTAAGAGCATTATAAATTATTTAACATTGAACGCAATAAATTATTTTGTATACGTGGAAGGTATTATTTTCACACATGTTGCGATTAAAAATGTTATTGCTTTAAAATTATAGATAAACAAATATAAATTACAGTATTTGATATATAAATTCCCGATAAAACCGATTTCAGACTTTGATAGATCTGAAGTGTACGACCTGTAAATCTGAGATCTATCAGGTGTGCCATGACACGTATAAACCCAACCGTTTTGTTTAATTTTTGAGCAATAAACAAATTTTACGATGGCCAGAAAACAATAAAAACCGTGCACAACACCATATGGGTAAAACGGTTTAATCGCGTCTCGTCTGGCCGTATAAAAAATTATATTATATTATTACGGCTTGCATATAGTGATTATAATATAATAAAATATGTAATGATATAATAATATAGTGTTTTCCGTCGTGACGAAACCAAGATAAACAGCTTTAGAATATGGGTGGTGTCTCACGAACTTTGGGGCCGGGTAAAAAATAGTAATCAAATCAAAACCCGCATAATTTACGTAATTATGTTTGCTGCCAACTTCCAGTATCACTTTACTAACAATTTCTCTACTACTTCTATATTAAAATTAATTAATAAAATATTAAAATTCTACAAGTCACACTGTATGGTAAATTTACATAAAATCGATCAACGACGTTAAAGTCACTTATGCACGCTGTTAAAAAACATCATAATTTTGATTATTGGTGTTTTATTCGCTATAAGATCTTAATAAATCTCACAGGAGCCCAAAAGAAAAGAAAATTTGGAACATGTCCTTTTACATTATTATTTTTTATTCTTTTCGATTTTCCATACGTCTATCGAACATTGAATATTAATTTGAAGTAGTAAATAATATAATATACGAGTATATATATGTGTGTGTATGTTATACTATCATAGAATGTGTAAGTTGTAAATAAAATATTTTATCAAGAGAAATGCAAATTTCGAGTGTGGTTTGAAACTAAGTTTGAGGTATGAAAAAATTCGAGATAATATAACTTTAGACAAAACATTACCACATTGGGATCGGGGAGGTAAAACGTATCAAAGCACGATTATTTTGGTTAACTCTAAATAGCTTAAGAACGTGGTGTTAAGTGTCAAAATAATTAATTTCCATCATTCACATATTAAGATATTGTACGAGTATAGTAAATGTTACGAACCAATAATAGATTTTTTAGTTTTATAGCAAAAAGAAAAAACCTTCAAATTGTTGACCACGAATAAAATATTACGAACAAAAACGTTTGTAATGGTTATTATATTCGTTTTAAAACCTAATAAAACGTCAATAATATTAAAATGGGTCGCGGAACATTTGATACGATCGATTGCGCCGCCGGAGCACTCTCGGACGTCGCGGAAGAATAAACGCACGAAACAATGAGATGAAAAAAGAAGATACGAAATTGTTGTACGGAGCCGGGAGCGAGGGCATCTCGAATCTGTCACAAATATTACTATTATATATATTATATATCCTTCCAATATAATCTCTTTCGAAGGTCTGGTGCAGCGCGAAAAAAAATAATAAAAACCACCCGACGAAGACGAGAGAAAAGAAGAAACAGACGCGCACAGGTGGTACACACGCTGCTCGCGCGCGCGCGCGCGCGCACACACACACAAACGCATTCAACCATCGTCTTACACTCCGAATCTATATGTATCGTGCAGACCTGTCAGCTCTTTTCACCTGTCACCCCTCCGGTACGACTCCACTGGTCCGCAGGATCCTGGGAACGTATACATATGCTTCTACCATATATTTATAGTATGTACACGTATTTCGTATAGAGCCTCCTAATCCGTGTCAGATTACGTGGTTCGCCAAGAGGGTGGCTGCAAGCATGATTCTCCTTTATGTCGAGATCGAACACTGGGAAAAAATAAAAATAAAATATCGAAAAAAAAATCACGTTTTACGCCAACAACGTCCTGCGTTTCGCTACGAAACGCCTTTGTCCTTGATTATATTTACATGACCGTCTTGAGATAAATCAGTCCATGAAAATGTGGACGTGATTCGTATTTTGTTGAAGCGTGAGAGCGCAAAAACACTTCCAATGAAATGCGTATATACCAAAGTTTCAGTTTTTACTATCTAAATTATCTAACACAATATCTTCTGTACGGTATAGTTTTCTACAGATTTTCATTTTTATCCCCTCTGTCACGTATGTACAAAACAGACTTAAGATTTTAATTTAAGAAATTAAAATAAATTTGTTAAGAATCGAATATGTTGAAGTAAATTAATAAAACGTGTCAATTATGGTCTGCAAAAGCTTGCGTATGCAGTAAATTGAGTGTCGTTTAAAATTATTTAATAGCAAAAATGCCACAGTTGATTCGCTGTTTGCGGTTGTGCAATAAAAGTTGAATATGCAATTATTTTTAATAATTCGCAATGATTTATTTTCCACACGGATTACTTTTTCTAATTTAAATTTTTATTCACAAGTAAATTATTAGCCGTCACTTAAAATTGTCGAAAGGCCCTGTGCATTTCAGTGAACAAGACGATTCGATGAACCTAATTTAAAATGCACCCATATTCGTACGGGTCACGTGGAGAGTTTGGTCGCTCGGGGCAGCATTGTAAAAAAAAAAAAATATTCGTTTATTTTCTACAATGTATCCATGGTACTTAGTGTTTATCATTAATATTTTTACTCTTCGTTCGCATGGTAGAAAAATAAATTCCAACTGGTTAATTTACCAATGTAATAATATAATTACCAATTTACGCGCTCTACTCTTGCCTCTTTCTCACTCTATTTCTTACGCTAACACTCATCTAAATATATATACATTATATGTAACAGCAGTACACGTTTATGGAATTTACTAGTTTTAATACTTGTATCCAGAGTTATTATTCCTCTAGAAAAAAAAACGAATAATTATGTTCAAAGTAACACACATGCACATACGTACGTATATAATTATATTTAGTTAAACGTACGAATAGAATACATAGAAATTGCGCTATGCGTGTTTCGCGAATGTTTGCAAACTTCGAGTGTATTATGCAAACGATTGCGGTTCGCCGATTTCAGAAAAAACGGGAGTTTTTAAACAACTAATTACCATCAATTACTAATTTTTTCGATATTCGAAACTCATACATGTGTGTGTGCGCGCGTGCACGTGTATTTGTGAGTACGTGTACAAAATATTTAAATTGTTTTGGATGTTTGGGCGCCGAATGGATTTACTTTTACCGTGTACACATGGCATAATCATGACTTTGACATCTGTAGGAGAACTCAAAGATCGAGATAAAGTTTGGTAGAACAGGTTCTATGTATACCGATCATAGAAGTCAACGAAGTAGTATTTTATCTATTGGCCAATGTATATATAAATTATGTGGTGTTGGTAACAGCGTATTATTTATCGATCGAAATTGTTTGGGCTAGAAACAAGTTTCGGAACGATTTTTGAAAACTAACCCATACCCGGCAAACGACGTATCACGGACAAAACAAACTCGACCCTGAATAAATTACATACATATTTTTTCCCATTGATGGTTAATTCAATAAACTAATTAAAAATTTGTACTCGAAACAATCAAAATACTTTTCCGCTTATAACGACGATAACGACCGATCGGTTTTTACTGTGATGCCTGAACATTCTACGACTATTAAATTACGATTATGTGCCGATATTATTATGAAAAAAAAATTGTCTAGAAACGTAATGAAATGTTTGACGAACCCATTAATTGTTAATGAGTTTAATATTATTATAATTACAATTTGACATCCTCATTTAAGCAGGGAGTTGAAAACTATTTGAGGTTAAGCCATAAAATTACACTTAATACATAATACAATACAATGTAGTATCCAATGCACAGGGGCCTTATATTCAAGCCTTAAAGATTATTAGTGACATAAAATAATGCTTTACTATTGTACAATATTATATCAAACATATTTTACTATCAAGTATTAAATAATTATTTAAAAAATTATTCAAATGTCAATCATAATAAAAGTACTATTCATTGAACTATAATTCATTTAACTCATTTATATTATTATTATGCACTTTTTTTTTTTAATATACTCCCGATTAGTAATTATGGCCAAAAATAAGTTCGACACTGTTATAATTTGTCATGCATATATTACGTCGATTTAGCTTTGTTGCCGTCGCCGTCGTATAAGCGCGCTCAGACGTATACACATAGAGATGGTTGGGAGTCATAAAATGAATAATGTTATGCGTACTCCATTCACTCCTCGAATAGGTTCATTAAACGGTGTGCCTTCCACCACCTACGCTTTTATTTTTATTATCGTTCATACCACTTACCGTAATATTATTACGTTATACCTTAGTGTGCAGTGATATGTCCGATGCTTTTACGCGACCAACAAGTGGTTCGGACATATTATAATAGCCACAATCTAATTTTCATGTTCACGATTTGGGGTCGTTAAAAATCGGTATTTTCTGCCCTTGCCGCCGTTAAGTAGAAGAGATTGGGTAGATTTCAAAGAAATATGCTCAGTGTCGCGCCTGACCAACGATACGACCGTCTGTCTGTTATTATTATTATTATTATTACTATATATACATATAGACGCAGGATGAGGGTCCAAGATAGTCGTAAAACCCATCAACTCGTGTGGCGGCAGACGTTCCGCGGTGAATATCACGTTTTTTCGTGCCCACCACGTGAACGTATTTACATGTGTATTACAAATTCAGTGGCATAGCAAAAGTATAGTGCAAACTTTGTCTACACAAAATCGTACTTTAATCGTATTTATTTAAATTTTATCTTAATAATAAAAATAACGAAAAACTTCCTTCGCTTACTGTTACAATAATGTTAAAATTTTAACTTAGTGTTACAAACTATACAAAGCACGCGTAACTTATATTCGTATATATGATCTATCTATTATAATTTTGGATCCACATTGAGTTCGGTTTATGATTAGTTTTTGTTTTTAAAAAATATTTAGATTGTGCCATTTGAGTTGAGAAAAATTGTTTATTTATTTTACTTAAATTATGTGGATCCGACATTAGACGTGTAGTTGATCATTGGTTATGATATCGAGTACAATTTTTTGGATAAACATTATGGACAGTCTCCCTTAGCCTAAATGTATTTTTACGTATTTTAAGTATAGGAATTAATAAAATGAAATGCATTGTTGACAAAAATCTGTAGAACTGACCCCCTTTATGTGAAGTGTATTATGGATACAACGACAACAACGGCCACATATTATTATTCATCGATAATTCGACATTCGATGGTAACGGTTTGTTGGTTTTTTTTTGTTGCATTAAATGGTCGTAATCTAATTTAGAAGTCGTCACGCATACATCATACGCACAACAAGCGGGAGCGGCTACTGCGACAGTGGCGCCCGGAAACGATTCTCTTCTATTAAACTTTTTTTTAATATTTTTTTACTGCGTTTGTGCGAAGGATTTATTTTCCTCGGCTATACGCTGCCGGATCTTTAAAACATGCATACACTACACAGCAGTTAATTGCCCCCGGGTAACATATAATATAAAAGTATATGCATCGCACGGAGCGTCTCAAATTCAGTTATAAATAAAACACATGTCCTACGTTACGCGCTCGCGTTTCGGGTGGCTTCGGTGAACGTAATATATTGATGCGACAGGAAACGAGGATTCTCATAAGATCTCTGATCCCTTTTGTCCAGCCTACCATCGAAAATATTATTATCTATGGAAATGATGTGGAAAATGACATCCACAATTTTTCAAGCGTGATAAACGGTACAATAAGAGTGGCAAAGAGAAGATTTCTCCATGGCTAGGAGAACCTCCCGCCAACAAAAACACAGCGTGATGATTGCAAACAGAGCAATCATATTGATTGTTGTTATTTAAACACTGGACTAGTTATAACCGTATTAAATACAAATAGTTAAACTAATAATTTTAACTATTAATTTAATTTACGATTTTAAACACCCGACTGAACAGTTTTTAAAATTACTAAAACAACAAAAACCATTGTAGAAATTGTTTATAATGACAAACAAATCACACTACAATAGCAAATACTTGTACGAACTAATAATTTTAAAAAGGGGGAAATGTTTTTCGAGAGCGAAAGAAAAATCAAAATTAATCTTAATCTGAATAAATATTTTACGTTACTTTAGTAAAACAATTTAATTGCGTGTACACGCGTATAGAACGTTAAGTTGGAATCAATTTAAACCGATGGTCCGTTGTACCTAATGTTCGCATGCCTGTACCACAGTATAAAAAATACAAGATTTCTGTACTCACAATCGATTCGCGTCACGGACGCCGCCATGGTGTCCTTGTTATGTTACCCTAATTCTGCCAGGCGTCGAACGTTGTAGGAGAGCACGGAGCAGCGCTCACCAACGGTAGGCAGTCGAATTTCGTTTCCCGAAGCGGTCACTCGATCTGCGGGTTTTTTTTTTCCTCCGGCGCGCAAAAAATGTGCTCACGTTATCACGGACCGAGAAGAACACACGATCCAACGGTGCACTCGGCACAGGTACCGGAAGGGCCAAAGGACGCGCGCGCGGCGGTTTTCGGCTGAGAGTGTTACGCTCCGTTACCGTGCACGGATGTCGCGGCGTATCGGTTGATCGTGCTGTTGTCGGGTCGCGTGTTCGGGTGACGGACGGTCGGACGGACGGGCGCGCATCGGAGCACGGACGTGACGTGCGCACGGGACGATCGACGACGGCGGACTGGCACCGGGAAGGCCAGCGGACGCGGCGAACGGGTACCCGTGTGCGTGCGCGTGCGCCCGTGTGTGCTCGTGTGTGCGCGCGCGTGTACCTGCGCCGCCGCCGACATCTGTCCGCTGTCCCCTCCCCGCCGCGCCGAGCACGCCGTCGCGGCGACGATGATCCTGCGCTCTCCGATCCTTCTCCTTCCCTTCGTCCGCCTGCTGCTGCACTCCTGCCACGATCTCCTCCCACCGCGCCCGCCGTCGTGCAACACGATCCTGTCGCCGACGAATCCGTCATGAGAATCCGTCGCGGTCCCGGCGATGACGTGTGAACGACTCCGTGATACGTGCGTGCGGCGCGCACGATGTTGTCGCGGTGTTGAACGTGAAACGCGCCGAAACTAAGAGGTTCAGCTGGCCACAAGGGTCAAGGGATTGTGCCATATAAGGGATTGAACCAACCGAAACGTCGAATGCAGGAGTAGATATCAAACGTACTCGTGTGCGTGCGGAAGTCTGTGCGCAGAACAGATTTCCCTTAAGCGCGAACAGTTTCCCTTCGTTCGGCGAACCAACCGATTAAATAATACGTGTACCTGACCCAACCTGGTCGGTCGTTGTGCGCGATGCACGCGGTGTCGTATGTACTCCGATGTAACGAAAAACATAAACGGTTTAGTGGAATAAACACGTAACCTGTTGTACAATTAATACATGTTGATGAGCAGATTATAGTAACTCTATTACTTATTTTATACCGGCCGAATGATATTGGTATACTCTGATATTGTAAACGGAATGAAAACGAGTTTTTTAGTGAAAAAACAGTTATTCACATTTGTAATAACATTTCTAACCTATGAATGTTAATAGATTTTTTTTTTTTTTACAATTTTTCGGGTTCGATAAATAGAGATTAATAAAAAAAAGTTATATACATACAGTCGTCACTTGTCCTCATAGGCAATCGCATATGTTTTAAAGACCGTATAATAATCGTTCAGTATAAATTCTTCAAATTTGATTTTATGCTTTGTTTTCTAATTGTCTTCTGATTTCCTTTATCACTGTACAAGATTATTTGATTGTTTAGTATTTTCCTGCTATCGTTACTCCCTCCTCCCACCAATTCGTTTTGCTACGAAAAACATTTAAAACGATTTCCGTTTAAATTATCATATACCTAAACCAACTCATTTAAATTCGTCGGTTATTATCAAATTGTGAAAACTAGATAAAATGTGAATAATCCAGTTGTGTTGGTTTCTCGGATACAATGTTATAAATCAGCAATCAAATTGTAATTTTCTAATACGATTCTAACACAATTGAAATTTTATCTTTTAAATTCATTTTTAAATTCGTGTTTTAATACAATTTTAGATTTCCGTAAATTCCAATATTTTAGATTCTGAGCGGAGTTAACGTGTTTATACTTATTCGTTCTACTTATCAGGGAAAATTATTTGATTTGTTATGATTCACCTTATTCCGTATGCATGTTATACTAAATGGATTTAATTTGTTACTCATCTATAAACTATATTTAATACGCTGCACAGCAACTTTACAGTTTTTAAGTCATAAGGTCATTTTTCAAGGGTCATGGACATCCCATCACTGATGGTCACATGCTATATAGTTCACGTGAAATTATTGTGCTCATGTTCGAACAACATAAAACAAGAAAATATATGTTTAATAAATAGTTTTTTTATGAGCGTTCGTATACAAATCACTTTGCTGAGCGTTCTTGAACTGTATATCATGATTCGGATGCTATACTTTCAATAAAAATACGCCCAAATAGTTTTTTCGATAATAGTTTTCACGCATATCATGTACGGTCTTTATTTTTAATGCTAATTGATCTCCGTTTAACGACTTTTATATTCCCTCGTATACTGTCGAAAACATAATTCCAGCCCGTCCCACTTTAAAAGACTAATATTTAATTTATTATACCCACCGTTAGAACTGTTTTGACCATTAATTTATCTAGGCCTATCGGCAAAAAAAAGGTTTTTTAAAAATAATAATGTTTAAGGTAAATGAATCCGTACGTTTATTTGAATAGTATATAGTATTTCGTAATAAAATAACCGAATAACATTATATTTTAATATAAAAAGTACAAAAAAAATATAAATAAAATTTAAATAATCCACGAATATCTTTAATGTTCATTGTGTCATATTTACAAAACGTACAACTCTATTCAGTTTTTAACTAATCTTACATAATAGTAAGTACATAAGTTGCACACAATAGTCATTAAGTTTTACTAAACACCTACTTGAATTCAAAACTTGAATAATAATTTTTTCAAACATTAAAATTATATACTAAACGTCATTTGTACACATAATATATTGTTGATAATCAGTAAAAGACATTTGATGTAGGATTTAAGTCGAAAAGTTTATAATAAATATAATCTTAATTTCATGCAGTTAAATTCCGTTGTCATATCAGAATACCAACTACCTACATAAATATAAGTATTAAAATAATCTCAAAATAATTTCCCGGTGACTAAAAAGTTATGCAAAAATGTATACAGTGAGGCTTAAGCTCCTCAAGAGATTCATTAACTTGATTTATAAAACCTATTTATTTAATAAATCATCAGAAATAGTACAATATTTTTCCATTATATAAATGTAAAAACGTTTCTAACAAATGATAAAGTTAAAATAAATTCATGAGAGGAAAATATTACATATAGTTCAATGATTTTAGTAATCATATCAATATAATATATATATATATATATATATATATCATATCATCATATTTATATATTTATGATACTTATATAATCTACTATTACTAAATATTTCTTCGATAAAAAATGTAAATTATAATAATAATAAAAATGTATAAACCACTGAAAATTTATTATTATTATTATTATTATTATTATTTTTTTTTTTTTTTTGAGAAAATAAATCATTCGCATTTCTGAATAAACTGGCCAGCTATAAAAGATAACGAAGAACAATGTTTGAAAAGGATATTCAGACTTGTATACGAAATCAAAACGGATGATTTTATAAAATACGTAATATCATTGAAGAAATTTTAAGTTTGACTTACGGGATGGATAGCTGGATCGATCCACATATCGAAATTTAACTTGATGGACTCAAAATCCAAACTCTATGGTAACACTTTTAAAGAACATGGTTTTATCTGTTATTATTGCACGCTATTTAATAAACTGTAAAATCTGAACGCGTACTTCCATATTTAAAACGTGTACTTATTTCTTGAAATTACACGGCCACTCGAATTAATAATGCATTTAATTTGAATTGGATTTTATTCCTAAAAATTAATTATAAATCCGTGGCTCAATCATTCCACAAGTTGTACATTAGGTATATAATATCGTAAACGAAAATTTTCGAATTGAAAAAAATTAGGTGTACTCGCCAACGTATATAATGATAATAAGTTTCTAAACGATTTCGGAGGAAACATTTTCTCGAACCTCCACTCTACACATAATTTGGGTTTCAGCAGTGTTTATAATATACATACAAGTACATTATGCACACACATATATGTATGGCAGATATCTCAAAAACTTATTTTTTCCTCGTATACATTCGTATTGTATTGTACAAAAATGGCATGTCCGATTATCCAAGGATTATGTGAATAATGTCTTAAACGGATTCCTTTTCGAACGCAGGGACAAAAACGCCGCCATCATTTGTCGGTTCCGCGAACAAGAGAATAACATAATGACCAATACATCGTACTAAGACTGTTATTATTATTATTATTATTATTATTATTATTATAGTGCAATATTTTAGGTGACGTTTTCATGAGGCCGTGGACAGACTAAACGGCTTCATTATCATTTAATCCTGTAGCCGGAAAGACCCCGCGTCGTTTGTCCTCCGTCGTCGGAGAGGAAAACCGCCTTACAGGTATTGTTGATGAGGATACACGCGTGTGTAAACGTATTATATTATTATTATTATTATTGTTGTAATACGCGCGCACGTGTGCACCGTTACCCTCACATGTGAAGAATCGCGGCGGCGATGTTATAAATCTTAAAAAAATGTCCGACCAAAAATCTACAACACCGGTGATGGCGCGTTAGAAATACACAGTCTGCAACGGCAAAAGAAAAAAACATGTATAAAAATAGATGACAGTGTTGTTGTTTGTGTACGAGCACATTTTATGTGGTTTTTCTGCAGAATATAATGTGACATCGTTCGTAAACCAATATATTGATGATATCTGCATTATCGTAGTACAGTCGTTTAGTTTTTTTTCCAAATCCATACGTTGTCGTAGCATCAACACTAATATTCCGTTTTTATTATGATTATTATTTTTATCGAGACTTCAAAGACAATGATTATTAGGGTGGAATAAAGCAATATACTATCAGTGAATACAGTGGCGTCATTTCAGATTTTTCTAGAGTAAGACAATCGGCATGCTCTTATTAAATTCCTGACTCGGCGGCTAATTTTATCAAAGTGCTGATTAACGTGGAGGGAGGTAGACGTCAAACGTAACCAAAAATATAATGATTTATACTTCGCACACAAGTACCAGAACACGTCTCATTTTTCTAATTTACAACATATCAATGGTATTATAAATTACGTGTTTTATATTTTGATAATGTACCGGCAACGCTAGAGATGACATACCACTATAATCATAGGTTTATTTACAATTTTTTATCTAAGTCTATTTGCTTAAAAAATGTAAAAATATTGGTGGTGTTATATTGATTAAGGACTTCTTCCGATGAATGTTTAGGAGATATCAAGAAGTTTAGTATTTGGGACAGTAATTTTATATATGTTACACGATGGTTTGGGCTCCTTGGAGATAAAAAAATAACGAGTAAGATGAGTGTCCAATTCCAGCTATACTCGTATTTATCATGTATTTTTTTATACAAATAATCGTACAAATAAACATGAAACTACACATGCGCGTTAAAATATCGTATTATTACATCGAGCGAGAGAACAGAACAAGTACCTGTCTACTACCACGCAGATAATATCGCGGCTTCATTGCGAGACAA